TCCAAGACGGCCCCAGAGGCCTCCAAGACGGCCCAAGAGGGCCCCAAGAACGCCCCCAACACGGTCCAAGAGAGGTCCGAGACGCCCGAAGATCGCTCCACGACGCCCAAGATGGCCTCCGGACGGCCCAAGACGTCTCCAAGATGGCCCAAGAAGCCTCCAAGATGCCCCAAGAGGCCTCCAAGAGAACTCCCAAGAGGGCCCCAAGATGCAAAAACCTGTGCTTTTCCTTTGGTGTTGGACAGATTTGGGCGTTTTAACCTTTTCGGTTCCCCGACGCCCCTAAACAGCTCAAGAGGCCTCCAATATATCGCCCCAAGAGGGCCCAAGAGGCCCCCAAGAGGGCCCCAAGACGGCCCAAGACGGCTCCAAGACGGCCCCGGAGGCCTCCAGGACGGCCCAAGAGGGCCCCAAGAACGCCCCCAACACTCCACAGCTCCCGACGCCGCAGCTCCACACTGCAAACGACCACTCGGACAGGCGACCACGGTGCGACATTATGGGCCGGCGGAATGAGCGAAGCGATTAAATAAAAAGACATGAGAAATACTCTAAAAATGCCCAAAAATAGTCCAATCGTCCCCGGACTATTTTTCCCCATATCCTAAGATGGAGTTATTGTTACTACTTGGACGCCTCCTACTCCCTCTTCTTCTCCTCCCCTCCTCTCGGACTTACTCAGACTCAGACTTACTCATACCCAGACTTACTCATACACAGACTTACTCATACTCAGACATACTCATACTCAGACCTACTCATACTCAGACTTACTCGTACCCAGACGTACGCATACACAGACTTACTCATACACAGAATTACTTATACCCATACTTACTCATAGCCAGACTTACTCATACACAGACCTACTCATACACAGACTTACTCATACTCAGACCTACTCATACTCATACCTTCTCATGGTCTGACTTACTCAGGCCTACTCATACTCAAACATACTCATGCTGGACTCCTTCAGAACCAGACTTACCCGTACCCAAACTCGTTCCCATACCTGGTCATGCACAGACTTACTCATACTCAGACCTACACATACTCAGACTTTCTCCTAGTCTGAGTTACTCAACGCACGGACTGAGACCTACTCATACTCAGACCTAGTCATACTCAGACTCGCAAGGGGAGCTGCCAGGGGTGTTTTTCACGGGCCCGTTCGCGGCCAGTTTGTGGGGATACCTCAGGCGGTCTGCTCGTTTTCATGCCCAACATCCTTTGTTTTCACAGCAGATTGCGAAAATGTCTCAGGCGGGGCGCTGGCTTCAGCACCCCTGAGGGGAGCCGCCAGGGGGTATATCACGGGCCCGTTCGCGGCCAGTTCTCGGGAGACTCTCCATGGGGGGGGATCCCATGGGGGGGCAGGAGGGGATCCCCCCCAATGGGATCCCCAGGGGATCCTATGGGATCCCCCCCCCTTGGGATCCTATCCCCCCATGGGATCCCCCCCCATGAAGAGTCTCCCGAAGTTCGTGGGGATATCTCAACCGGTTTGCCTGTTCCGGTGCCCAACATCATCTGCGTCTACAGCTGATTTAAAAAATGTCTCAGGCGGAGCGCTGGTTTCAGCACTCCTGAGGGGAGCCGCCAGGGGGTATATCACGGGCCCGTTCGCGGCCAGTTTGTGGGGATGTCCCAAGCGGTTTGCCTGTTCCAGTGCCCCACATCGTCTGCGTCTACAGCAGATTTGGAGGATGTCACAGTCGGGGCGCTCGTTTCAGCACTCCCAACGGGAGAAGCCAGGGGGTATATCACGGGCCCGTTCGCGGCCAATTCGTGGGGATATCTCAGCCGGTTTGCCTGTTTCGGTGCCCCACATCGTCTGCGTCTACAGCAGATAAAAAGATGTCTCAGGCGGGGCGCTGGTTTCAGCACTCCTGAGGGGAGCCGCCAGGGGGTATATCACGGGCCCGTTCGCGGCCAGTTTGTGGGGATGTCCCAAGCGGTTTGCCTGTTCCAGTGCCCCACATCGTCTGCGTCTACAGCAGATTTGGAGGATGTCACAGTCGGGGCGCTCGTTTCAGCACTCCCAACGGGAGAAGCCAGGGGGTATATCACGGGCCCGTTCGCGGCCAATTCGTGGGGATATCTCAGCCGGTTTGCCTGTTTCGGTGCCCCACATCGTCTGCGTCTACAGCAGATAAAAAGATGTCTCAGGCGGGGCGCTGGTTTCAGCACTCCTGAGGGGAGCCGCCAGGGGGTATATCACGGGCCCGTTCGCGGCCAGTTTGTGGGGATGTCCCAAGCGGTTTGCCTGTTCTGGTGCCCAACATCGTCTGCGCCTACAGCAGATTTGGAGGATGTCACAGTCGGGGCGCTGGTTTCAGCACTCCTAAGGGGAGAAGCCAGGAGGTATATCACGGGCCCGTTCGCGGCCAGTTTGTGGGGATGTCCTAGGCGGTTTGCCTTTTGTGGTGCCCAACATCGTCTGCGTCTACAGCTGATGTAAAGGATGTCTCAGGCGGGGCGCTGGTTTCAGCACTCC